TGTTTTGGAATTAAATCTGTAAAAAACATGTTTATGCTTCCACGCATAACATTTAACTTTCCGCGGAAAATTTCCGATATACCATGGGTTGCTGATAACGCGGTTGTTCACTCTGTCCTCCGCGTTATAACGGGAATGTACTATATTTGAATCTGTCTGAAAGAAGGAAAACGTTGTTGTAGGTAGGCAGACTTTTCAGTGGAGCCTTTATTTTTGTTTACTGCTTGCCGTATGTCAAATGGAGTGGTTAGACTTTTTAACGGACTGAATAAAGTGTTAGGCCCGTGTTGCCAGTTATCAGCAGTTGGTGTACAAAAACGGACGGGCTGGCATCACTAAGGCATCGGTATCAATTATTTTCGATAATCGAGAAAAATCACAAAGTCCATCTGGTTATGAAGTATACGATGAAATCACGGTGACGAGGCAGGTATGATCCATACATTAACTATATAGACATACTCATTACATCTTGCATGTGTTATTGCAGATGGTGGTTGGTGGTCGCATCAAGTACTCGATCAATGGGGTGAATGTACAGAATAACCGCGTATTTTCGCTGTTTGAATCCGTTAATTTGAATATCGATAGCCCGCATTTCTTAATCATGCAGGGTCGAGTAACCAAGGTCTTAAACATGAAGCCGAAAGAGGTACTTTTTTCAATATAACTGTGTAGGGTGTACTGTAAACGCCAAACAGTATTCTTGCTCATTGCTAATTTTTTGGTCACTGTGTAAATTTAAAGGTTCTTGCAACGGTAGAGGAAGCTATTGGCACTAGACTTTACGAAACATCGAGAAATGAGGCACTGAGAGGTATTGAAACGAAAGACAAAGAACTTAAGGAAATTGGAATGGTACGTGTTCATTTTCGTTAAAGGGAAGAGCTAACTGGCATCTTGATAGGTCATCGAAGAAAGCGTCAGACCTAAATACGAAAGAGTGAAGAAGAATCGTTCTTGTTACTTCGAGTACCAGAATATGCAGGTTGAAGTCCAATCATTGACTCGTCTAGCAACCGCTCATCAATACATGATGGAAAAGGTACTGTCGCTTTTAGAGCTTCTGCTGGTGTCTATGCGTAATTGTTTCAGGAAGCATTGCTAAAGTCAAATGACGTGATAGCAGAATTAAAAAAGTCTGTAGAAACGCTGAAAGAGCAAATAGGCGAGGATGAACAACGCATGGCTCAATTGCAAAAGGAAATTGATCTCATTCATACCACTAAAAACCAGGTACGAGTCGCATATTTTGATTCGTGTTTGTTCATTGCGTACCTAATTTTTTTGGCATAGTCATCCTGATTCCATGGCCAAATTAAATGGAATGATTTACAATGATAGAAAAGTTATTATATAGGTGTATCATAACAAGATAAGATTTTTTGGTGGCAAAAATTTTAAAAATGAATGTTCATGTGCATGTGCAGAAAAAGTAGAAGAACATTGAGTTATGCAAGTAATTTATCCAACATACAACTTTACTACGAGTATTCTTGTATTTCTGTTATTTGTTGTTGTTGCCATCATCGTGTTGGAGGTCAGGGTTAGGTCAGAGTACCCAGACTGATGATGTCTGATGCTCTGTTGTTTTCTATTTGAGTGACTGGTTGGCGGATGTACGTTGAAGCATAAGCTGGTGAACAGCCGTCCGGCAGAAACCGGCTTATGCCAATAAGCTATAATCGATTTTTCGAAGTTTTTCAATCATGACTTTATACCAGTGCCTTTTGAAACTTATTGTTTGTCTTTGTTTCCGATGTACGCGTGGAGCAAAATTCCAGATAAAAGATTTTTTCTGGAAGCTGTCAGGTAATTCATGTGTAATGGTTGGAATATCCCAAATTTCGACTGCCTTCTAAAATTGATGGAAACTGTTTATGAATGGGTGATAAGTCTTTAGAAAGAGTTCTCATTTCAAATGCAACGTTCGTTTGCTTGACATATAAGTAAGTACAGCATTATTCCTTTTATGTTAACGCATATGCGCATTGCAAAATGATGCTACAGATAACATTGTTCTTAGAAGATCAGTCACGTTCAGCGTCTCGTGATCTTTCTTGTTAAGCACAAAATCACACGAAATGTTATCCGAGCTGGAAACCATGCGTCGTAAAATTACCCCCTGATCAGAATAGCTTCGCGCTAAATTATTTTTGTGATTCTTTGTGTCATATGAAGCAAGGTGTTCCTTACTAGGTACACTGGGCGCTGATGGCAAGGGAGCTGCCAACTAAGGGTCATGGTTATATTAGACCTATTAGATTAGATTTCAGGAACATTCTTTTTTAGATGAAGCCAAACTGTTAACAACGAAAGATTATCTGATCGCTTCTGTAACTCTTAAACACGTAACACAGGGAAGAACAGGAGTATTTGGAAATCCTTAGTTGTTGACAACTCGTCACTAATGCCCTTAAGTCTCTGTGTATGTATATGTGCATTGAGCATCAATAACCCAAGGCATTGACAGAAAGTCTTTTTGACATTTGCCACTATTTTACAGTTAACATTTTCCAGCATTTTACAGTCGAAACATGAAATTTACCAGACTGTTGTGGACACAGTTTAATTACTATCAAGTTGGCTGCGTATCGGATCCATGCATAGATTGTTTCATTCACTGTTATTCAATCACAGGTATTTCTAATGCCTCAACTTGCTTAATCAAATAAGAATCGTAATTATGCATAGAGAACTATTATGCTTCATGCAAACTATGCAAAAAAA